ATTATATTAAATTTATAGCTGAGAGGGGTAGCACAAGCCTATAATCCCAGCATGTGGTTACATAGTGAAAACCAGTCTCCAAAAACAAAAGATCTTCATAAAAATCTATGATGATGGCTAAATTAAGACCTTAGATTCTAAAAATATGCTACCCAAACTTCAAAGGGCTACAACTGGCTAAAAATAAAATGTGTTACTAAAATACATTTTCCTGTATGACAAGTGATCCTAGGATTGAATATAAAACTCCATCTGGCCCCAAACAACAGAAAAGATGCACCATGGCAAAAAAGGAACACTGACTGGGCTGAGAAGCCTTACATACTACTCTCTAACTCAAAAACCTTAATAATGGAGCCACGTATGGTGGGATACTCCTGTAACCCCAGGATTTGGGAAGCTGAGGTTGGAGAACCACTCTGAGCTTCACCGAAGATGGCCCAAAGTAACCAGCAATACTAAAGAAAGCCTGGGGTACATAGTTAAGACCCTATCACTCACAAACAAATACTCCCTAATATTATACAGTAAGTAACATCAACCAATGGCTGGCTATAAGAAGAGTTCTATGACTCTGAAACTTAAAAATGAATATTCTATTTTTCAATATTTCTGAATTCTAATAAAGGACAAAAACAAAAATAAGCCACCCCCTTACCCCCCACCCCCCCTGCTTTTCTAACAGCTTTTTTATTTTGGGAACAGGGCTTCAGCTATGGAGCCCTGGCCTGGCCTGAAACTTGTGGCAATCTACCTGCCTCTACTTTCCAAGTACTGGGATTACAGACAATAAGTACCCACACACCCAGCTCTTAACTAAAATTTAGTTGACTAATAATAGATCATTAACAGAATTTAGGACACAGCCATTTTATAATTATCTACAAATAAAATATACATACAAAAAAAGAACTGTACCAATTGTAAATGAATACTAAGTTATTTTTTCTAATTTATGTCCTTCTTTAAAAATTTTTTGGGGGTGGCTAGAGAGATGGCTCTTCCAGAGGACCCAGGTTTGCTTCCCAGCATGCACCTGGTAGCCAACAACCATCTATAACTCTAGTTCCAGGGAATCCAACACCTTCTGCTGGCCTCTGTAGGCTTTGTATGACATGAGTGCCCTTACACATGCAGGCAAAAACTACTCATACACATAAAATAAAAATAAATAAATAAATTTTGGGGGTACGGCTGGAGAGATAGTTCAGTGCTTAAGAGCACTGGCTGCTCTTGCAGAGGTCCTGGGTTCAGTTCCTAGCACCCACATTGTAGTTAATAACCATTCTATCTCTAACTCCAGTTCCAACGATCTGACACCCTCTTCTGACCTCTATGGGCATTGCATGACACAGGTGCACTTATATACATGCAGGCAAAACACTTATATACATAACATTTTTTAAAAAGTAAAAAAAAATAAATTAACTTTTAATAAAAAAAAAATGGGGGATGAGGTGGGACCCAGATGATGCTGGAATCAAACTTAGGGAAATCAAGTCAGGCAAGAGCTCTACTAACTGTGCTAAATATCCAGCCCCTAATTTACCTTCTTAATAATGGTTTATCATCTTCAGTGAAAAATGTAACAGCTTTCCCCTTATGTCCCGCTCTTCCAGTTCGACCTAGAAGAAACCACACCATGAAAAACAGGGGTTTTGACAGGAAGGAGACTCTCAGGCTTCACATAAAAAGTCATAAAAAGGGGGCTAGAGAGATGACTCAGTGGGTAAGGCACTAGCTGGGTAAGCTTAAGGACATGATTTAGAATCTCCAAAACCCATTGATAAAGTCAGATGCAGTAATATGTGTCTGTAATTCCTGTGCTCCTATGGCCAGATGGTACGCAGAGACAGGAGGATCCCTGGAAGCTCCCAGACCAGCTCCCCTGATATACACAATAGAGAACAAGAGAGACCCTGCCTTAAGTAGAAAGCAAGGACCAACACCTGATGTTGTCCTCCAACCACCACATGCCATGTGTGCACACATACATGTACACGTACGTGCACACACACGCACACACGCACGACTAAATAAGAAAATATACCACTGGATTTTCGTAGCACCAAAAGTGAGTATGTCTGAAGGAACAGAAGAGGTGCTAAGAAAGTTGAGTGGGCAACAGGGCATGAAAACAAAAGATTCATACATAGGGCAGGTGTGGTAGTGCACACCTTTAGTCCCAGCACTTGGGAGGCAGAAGCAGGTGGATCTCCACGAGTTCAAGGCCAGCTGGGGCTACAGGGAGACCCTGTCTCAAAATAAAAAAAAAAAGACTCACCTATCCTATGGATATATTCCACTGAGCTAGTTGGGAAGTCATAATTGATCACCAAGTTCACACCTTTAAAATCAATCCCTCTTGCCAACAAGGCTGTACAAATAAGGACCCAGATTTTTCCTGCTCTGAAGCTGTGGACGGTATTATCTCTCTGGTAAGGGAAATACATTAAATGCCTTAGTATCATTCTAGGAATAGAAAAGTTACTTCATAATGTTTGGAAGTATAGATTTGACTTTCTACCTGTTGCTGTGTTCTTTCTGCATGAATAACATCCACATTAATACCTTCATATATGAGCTCATGAAAAAGTTCTTTAGCCCTTTCAATGGACTGAACAAAAACAAGAACGGGTGGGTTGAAACCCTAAAAGAAAGAAGGCAAAATTTAGCACACATAACTCATAAGCAAGAATACAGTTTTTCATAATGTCTTCAGTTTACAAAAGTATGCAATTCAATTCACTGTGCTTTTGCTCATTCTTCAGTGCCCCAGACCATCCCTAACAAATCAGCAGAGAGATGAGGGGATGAAGGGGACAGAGATAAGCAGATGTGGAAAAATGTGTCTGCGAAGGCATTATTGGGTAGTTCTCCTACTCGGAGCAAGGAACAGAAGACATCTCCACTGGATCACTAAGCATAATGCAGAATCAAATAAAATGCTGAGTGCCCCACCAGTAATGTAAAGCTTGGTGATCTTAAAAACCGAAATTCAAGAATGTAGCTTAATATATACCTTTTTAACAAGTTCTCTCATGGCAAGAAGTTTTCCAGTCTCAGACCCAACAAAGAGAAGCTCTTGTTCTACAGTCTCTACTGCAGAATTCCTAAGAAGAAAATATACTTTGTAAGAACCAAATTTTAGCTGGGTTCCTGATGGTCTATGTCTATAATCCCAGCATTTGGAAGGAGGAGGCAAGAGGATGGAGGCTAGTCTGCTGGGATACCTAGCAAAACTTTGTCTCAAAAAAACAGGCCAGGTAGGTAGCTCAAATGGTAACCTGACGACCTGTTTGATCCCCGGATCCCATAGCGTAAGGAGAAAACTGACTCTTAAAAGTCCTCTAACCTCCACATGCATGCAATGACATAGTCTCTCTCCCTCTCCCTTGAAATAAAAAAATTTAAACAGAATTCCAAGAATACTAACTTCTCTACCATCAACGTAAATGCTCAGTTATTTTATTTGAAAAGAAAATAGCTATTTTTAAAGTTTTGTTCTTACTATATGTTTCCTCAACAAAATGCTTTTAAATAGAAAAATATAAACAATTGCCTAAATCCTACCATTTTAAAATAAAGTTTGATTTTCTGTTGTATTCCAGTCCTAAATTTTCATGACTATTTGACATAAAAAAATCTTTCTAAATAAGGAGCTCAAAAGATGGCTCAGTGGTTAAGAACACTGGCTGTTCTTGCAGAAGACCCATGTTCAAATCCCAGTACCCACAGGCAGCTAAAACCATCAGTAACTCCAGTTCCAGGGGAACCAATGCCCTTTTCTGTCCTCCGAGAGCACTGCACAACACTGGTGCACTTACACACATGCAGGCATTAACACTCGTACACATAAAATAAAAATTAAAAAAAAATCTTTCTAAATATAAAATCATTAAATAAAATAATAGGTTTTGGGATTTTGTTTGTTTGGATAGGGTCTCACTATATATCCTTGGCTGACCTGCAACTCAAAAAGATCAGTCTGCCTCTGCTGGGACTAAAGGCATTGAGAACACAAAACAGTGAGACCATTTTTAGGTTGTTATCATATATGGCCAAACTTGTTCCTTAATGATCAGCAAGAGTCAACACTCAGGGGTGAAGTTATTAAAGTCTTAGGATATTCTATAAGATGCTTCAATATATTATACTCAAGTATTTTCCCATTCTGTAGTCTGCTTTTAAATTTTAATTTAAAAATTAGGCTTTCTTTTTAAACATAAGTCTCGGGTTTAAAGTAGATAGGGTATTACTTACTGCTCTGTATTGCTTTTCTTTTTAAATTGGCATGGAATCTTCTTCACTGTGTTGCCCAGGCTATGCAAACTCCTAGGCTCAAGCAATCCTTGTGTCTTAGCCTCCCAGACTATAAGTATACATTTCTGCACCTGGTTCTTTTTCATTTAATGTGAAGGTACTTAGTATTACAAGTACTTTTCATATAGTTAGTCTTCACGCTTATTTTCTGACTGGTTCCATGGAATTTTATCAGTTCATATAACAATTAAAAAATTCAGGAGTAGGCGCTAGGGGTGGCTCAGCGGTTAAGAGCACTGACTGCTCTTGCAGAGGACCTGGGTTTGATTCCCAGCACTCACATGGAGGCTATGAACCGTCCTTAACTCCAGTTCCAGGGGAATCCGAAGCCCTCTTCTGACCTCCGTGGCACTGCACAACATGGCTACAGTCACATACATGCAGGCAATACACTCAGACACATAAAATAAAAATAATAAAATATTAAAAAAAAAATTCAGGAGTCAGTTCTATCAAATGGGTCCTAGGGATTGAACTCAGGTTGTCAAGGCTTGGCATTAAGTGCCTTTGCTTTCATGTGTGCTTAAAATCTATTTTACATTTATTTCTTTACTTACTTCTTTAGGGATGTGTGTGCACATGCAAAGAGGTCAGAAAACAACTTTCAAAAGGTCTCTCCTTCCACCAAGTGGATGCCAGGAATAGAAATCAGGTCATCAGGCTTGGTGGAAAGTGCCTTCCCCACTGAGCCATCGCGCTAGCCCCCATGCTTTTCCTTGAACTTTTTTCAAGGAAAACGTTATTATATTTATTTAGCATTAAATGCCCACCTCTGAACCCTTTTTCAGTGCTGGAGAATAGAATATAGGATCTCACATGACTTTTATCAAAATATTTTTGTAGAATTACATATCAAGTGGTTAAGCAACACCAGCTTTCTACATGGAGTCCTACTTAAATAGACCATCAAACTAAGTATGAGTGACCACAGAGTTCACATCATACTTTGTGAATGAAATAAAATCAAATAAATGAATGATGATGAGACTACTAATGCACAAACGTGAGAATCTCTCTGTGTTACTCTAAAAGAAAAGCCCTTAATGTTGAGTCTAAAAAGCATTTCTATCAGCAAATCTTTTCCCCCTGTTGGTCTCATGCCAAACAACTTATCTCCTTGAGTCTAAATGATCACTTATATTAAGTCAACAAACCAGTGGGATAATATGGAAGAACAATTATTTACCTTGCTCCAATGGATACAGTAACAACATTGTCCAGGTTAAGTTTGCACCACTGTTCAACATCATATGCAAAAGTTGCACTGAACATAGCTCTTCTGACCTTGTGGGATGTGCAGGCCAGGAAAATGGAAGCTAGCTGGTCTCTAAACCCAGTTTTTCCATCTTCAAACAGTTTGTCTGATTCGTCTACTACCAGCCACTCAACACTAAGAAATAACAAAACAACTTGTGAATACTGAACTGGAAAATCCAAGACACTTCACTAGCTATAGGGATACATGAACACAATGATGCTGCTTTTCTGATCACTTCATCAAAGGAAAAAAGATATACCAGAATAAATCCTTCTTTAATTTTTTTTTTGTCAAGTATTTAGTCACAGCAACAAGAAAACTAATAAAATAACCAACTAAATGAAAAACATATATGAAAGACATTAAAATATTATTGTACCTTGTTAGGTCTATTCCTGGTGGATCTTGCTTTAATAAATAGATTAATCGATTTGGAGTGGTCACAAGAATATCTATAGGTAAAACAAAGGATAGAAATTGTAAGAATAAGATGCATCCCTTTTGAAATAAGGAATTTAAGCCTCTAGAATTTCAGTTAACCTTATGAGACAAGGGAAGAGCAGTTAAAAAGTGTTGCTTGCTGGTAAGCAAAAACATGTTTTTTTCTCCATCACATCATAAATTTCTGTATCTCTATTATATTTAAGTTACTTTCTCAACTTTTTTGTTGATGGTGCAATTTTTTTGTTATTTATTTTGAGAGCCTCATTGTGTAGCCCAGACTGCCTCAAACTCACAATCTTCTTGCCTCTGTCTCCCTTGAGTGCTGGGCTTAGTTTCTGCTGGCTTACCACCCCTGCACCCTAGTACTGAAGAGTGAACCGAGGGTCTTTTACTCTACCTGCTAGGCAAGGCTATACTCCCAGCCACTTTAGTGTCTAACAGGCAACACTATACAATCCTAAGCCCAGCCTGGCCTCAAAACTCCTTTGAGCCCCCTGCCTCAGCCTCCTGAGTGCTAGGATTGCAGGTACATGCTGCCATGCACGGCTTAGAAAATCCACTTCTTATATGAAAATTTTCCCAGAAGCTCAAGATAAAAGCAAATTCTCCGGCTCACAGACAGAGATATAATTCATTCCATGCCAGAGCATGTCCATTGCAGAAAAAAGGAATGGTATAAAGTGGGATTTCTCAAGCCTAGCATTGCTGACTTGAGTCAGACAACTTTTTTGCAGACAGCTGTCTTAGACATTGTAGGATGCTTAACAGTATTCTTAGCTTCCATCCACTATGGGTTACTGACTGCTTTCCCCAGCAGCCAACAACTAAAAGTGTCCAGATATTGTCAAATGTCTCTGTGGTGGAAATTGGTGGAAAGAATCATCTCATTACTAGGATACAGGCACTAAAAAATTACTAGGTGGAGTAGGGAGTAGAATCTGTGTTCAGCCTCTTCAAAAATAAAACTAATTAGGGATGTGGCTCAGTTGGTGAAGTATTTGCCTAGCATGCACAAAGCTCTGGTTTCAATACCCAGCTTTGTATAAGCTGGGTATGGTGGTGCACACCTGTGATCCCAGCAGTTGGGAAGTGGAGGCAGGAGGACCAGAAGTTCAAGGTCATTCTCAGTAACAGTAACTGAAGTGAGCAAGGGTTACATGAGACCCTGACTCAAAAATAAAATGGATATATCAAGTAATCATGTATAACTTGCATTTTAACTCTCAGATTCCAATTAGGACATCTATAATTCCCAAATCCTGTACATGTTTTACACCTCAAGCATGAATTTCTTACCAAACTTCTTAGATGATTTGGGCCCAAATTTCTTGGCTGCTATTGCAGCTTTGTGGATCATATGTATCCTGAATCCTGTTCCCTCAGATATTTTATTTAATTCTCGGTGAATCTAAAACAAAAAAAAGTGAGAAAATATAAGCTGTTAAGATACAGGACAGGGTATAGAGCTTCTTTTATATTAATGTATCTACTATCAACCTAAGAGAGAAACCTGCCATGAATCTGTAGGTTAACCTGTAATGTTAGCATTTTAGAGCTTTAAAACCTAGAAAGACTCAGTAGTTTCCACAAGAACCAAGTAAACTGGTTTGAAGAAGCTGTGGCAGCCCTCCTTCAATCTGCTGCATTGTTTTCAGAATGCAGTAGTGCTGTAAGATGACTCACAGCAGGGCATGTGTTTTGCACTGAAAACACCGCGAAGGAGAAAATGACTATTGTACAGCTTTACTCCATCAAAACTTGGGCCTCAAACTTGTTATGGGGCTGAAGAAGATCTTGAACTACTGATCTTCCTGCCCCCACCTCCCAAGGGTTGGGATTACAGGCATGAACCATCATGCCCACCAATGTTTAACTTTTTGAGAAAAATTAATTTTAGAGATGAATATCTCACTATACTCTTTCTAATTGAAGGATCTTAAGAACATTTACCAAAGATGCACAATTGTCAAAATTGTATTTCAGAAAATTATAGACATTTAAAAGACTAACCCATATGCTGTAACATAGAGAATACTTTGTACAGAGCATTTGACCATGACAGAAAACATTCTTCTGAGATCTTTCCCAACCTCAAATAAGAAAGATTACTGAAGCAAACACTAAATGTATTCTCTCAACAGCTATAAAACATACCTGGCTGGCAAGTTCTCGTGTTGGGGAAATAATCAGGGCTCTAAAGCCTTTATTTGTGGGTTGTTTCAACTGCATTAAAATGGGAATGCTAAAAGCCAATGTCTTCCCAGATCCAGTAGGAGCAGAAGCCAGAAGTTCCCGACCCTAAAAACAGCATATAGTAAGTACTAGGAAAAGTTCATATATTTTCACAGCCTAGTTAAATAGTGTGACCAGTTAGGAAAACAACAAATAAAATTCAAAGCAATGAATTCCATTGCTCACACCTGACCCACTTTTCTAACATCTTTTCTAAGACCTCATCCTTGCCATCAACTACCCTCAAGTGTCTCTGAGCACTGCTGCTAAAGTCATTTGAATGGTACGCAAAGTGGACAACTAAAATCCAAAGAGATCACACATACTATTTTAGGTTTTCTTTCCCACTAAGCTTTTATAAAAGCACATCATGCAATCGACTTTTTATCCTGATATCTGTACTGTTCTATCTTCTTGGAAAGATTTTGTTAAATAACACAATGAGTGAAGGTTAGAAACGAAAATGGTGATGACCTGGGTGACAAGAGTAATTTATAGGTGACAATTTTCAAAAGGGTCGCTGTGATTTTTAAACTTTTAAGCTGAAATCATGGTAGGAAAAACCCTAAGGAGAAATTAAATGCAAATTTAATAAATGTGAGTCAATATTGTTGCTCAAATATATGAATATATTATCATTTCAGTACTCAGAAAATGAAAAGGACTAATATACTGGGTGAAAAGACAATTCATATCCTTTGGCTACCTGAACTGAAGACCAGCTTAGATCAGTTTGGAAGAGAGAGAGAGAGAGAGAGAGAGAGAGAGAGAGAGAGAAAAGAGAGAGAGAACAAATTTCCATTGTTATTAAAAACCACAAAGGGGCTGGAGAGATGGCTCAGCTGTTAAGAACACTGGCTGCTCTTCAGAGGACCTAGGTTCGGTTCCCAGTACCCACATGGCAGCTAACAACTATCTGTAACTCCAATTCCAGGGAACCCGACACCTTCTTCTGGCCTCCTTGGACACTGTACAACATGGGCACACTTACATACAAGCAAGCAAAACACTCATACACATTAAAAAATTTAAAAAAAAATTTTTTTAAATAAAAAAACAACTAAAAAAAAAAAAAAACACCTTAGAAAACTTAATTTCCAAAACTCTAAGTTGATCTATACTTCAAAAACGTTAAGTAAAAGCGGTCAGAAGATTAATTATCTTACCTGAAAGTATAGAAGAGGTAAAACAAATACATGGCAATCAGAATAGAGGTTATTCCGGGGAAGGGATGGGTAAAGAATGGAAAGGGCACAGTAGAATTCTCTGGGGTGTATAGAAAATGTCCTACATCTTCACTAGAGTGGTAGTTATGTAAGCTATACATTGTTTAGACTCATTAAACTGTGCTCAAGTCTCTGAGTTTTATTCTATGCAAGGTTATTTCAATAATAACGAGTACTGGGAAAGAAACTAAGCTGGATTATGTGTAAGAAATTTAAAAAGTATTTGTATTTCTGATACAGCTTCTGGGCATTGTAATGACAAAACACAGTCCCCAAGCTCAGATTTAAATGTTGCATGAAAACAAAAACAAAAAAACCTTTGACTCAGGCATGCTGGTGGTACACACCCATAATCCCAGCACTCTGAAGACTGAGGCAGTAGTATCATGAGTTCAAGGCCAGCCTGGACTAAACAGTGAGGCCATGTTTCAATACAAGCAAGAAATAAGCATGCACACACACACACACACACACACACACACACACACACACACACACACACAGAGGGGCGGGGGAGACTGGCGAATTATACCATGTAGGGAAGAGGTCCTTATTTCTGATTTATGAAGCCTGTGAAAAGGTCTCAAGGGGTAACTTGTGAAAACTAAAAGTGCCTGCAAGCAAGTGACTCATTTGCCAGATGGATGACTGCTTGTACTGTGAACTAACTGATTTGCCTGAACCAAATGAACAGGGGAGAAGAAAACAGGAGATAAGGAGAGAAAGGGTACTGAGAAAGGAAAATGATGACACCTAGTTGTAGTGATCCTGCAGCTTGGCAGGCACAAGCATTTGAGATGGACCTTGAAATCAAGTGAAGGATTTTAACCAGGGAGGTAAGGTGAAAGGAATGTTACGGGCATTCTATATTTTCATACTCACATGCAGCATAACTGGAATAGCTTGCATTTGAATTGGTGTAGGCATTTGAAAGCCTGAGTCTAGAATATTCTGAAGCAGTCGAGAATTGATTTTATACTCCTGGTCAAGTTGCTGGAATGTAGCAATGGGGTCAGGAAGATCAGTTCCCTGGACATGAATTTTGTGTGTATTCCGGAAGAAGTTTACCTATAAAGTGAAACAAAGGAGTCATCATGGATAAGGCCAAAAAAACTACTATAAAAATCTTAGATGTTTTAAAGCAACAGCAGTGGTTTCCGGGATAAGCTTTAGTGATATATGACATTTTTGGTTAAAACTGCCCCAATCAACAGAGAGTAAATACATTTCATGGCCTTTGTAGAAGAACCTGCACAAATGATGAAACCCACCTGTCTATGCTTTCTTCATGTACACACACCAATGTCATTAGAACTACTCATAGCAACCTGTTTCTGTCAGACTTTTAATTCACATAGCTTCACATAAATGTCCACAAGGCAAGCTCTTAAGTCTATTTTTTCAGTATGGTACTAGGCATATAAAAGCCAGTGCTTTTTAATACTTACAAATAAACCTACCCCTGCATTTCTTAAAACTAAGTGTCAAGGGTGGAGTTTCGTGGCACTGTTTCATCCTCCAGCCCAGAGACAGCCAAATTCTGGCTTCTGCGTTGCTGAAATACACCACAGTCATCCCTGAAGTAAGCAGTACAAACTCTCCACCAGCAATGTGGCAAGTGTATAGGAAGCTTGGGAATGCTGTATTCCTTGTTTCTGTCACATCCTATACCCTTTATTCACAAATTATGTTTCTTAAGAATTCTAACCCTCTGTTGGGTATGGTTGGCGCACCTCAATTCCAGCAGAGGCAGGCAGATCTATGCGACTGAGGCCAGCCTGGTCTATACAATGTGTTCTGGGCCACCTGGGGCTACAGGGAGATCCTATCTTAGGGGGAGGGGGCTGGAGAGTTGGCTAAGTAAGGAGCACTGGCTGCTCTTGCAGAGATTCAGTTACCAGCACCCTTACAGTAGCTAACAACTGTTGGTTAACTCCAGTTCCAGGGGATCTGATGACCTCTTCTGGCCTATGCAGGCACTGCATGCATGGGTGTATTTAAATGCAGGCAAAACACTTAACACACATAAAATAAAAATAAAAACAAAAAACAAAACAATAACTCACACAAAAAAGAATTCTAACCCTGCAGAGCCAAGTGTAGCAGTATATACCTATAATCCCAGGTAGAGGCAGGAAGATGAGGAGATCCATGTAGGTTACATGAGATCTTGTCTCAAACAAACAAAAAGAATTCAAAGCCTATAATCCCTGCCACAGAAAAATTTTCTAAATCAGTGAGCTCAACACAAAAGAGAAAGAGGTCAAATTTTATGTTTATCAAAAGGACTTAAGAAATTTAAAATTTTAAATTCTGACAATACTGTTACTCTTGAAAATTGAGAAGTCAAGAATTGTTACACAGAGATTGATCAGTCAGTCGGTCAGTCAGTCTATCAAACAATCATTGTAAAAAGACATTTCCACTACAGTACAGCACAGATAATTACTTTAAGTTTTCATTAAAGTAAAACCTAAACAAATGTAATTAATCTTCTATCTTAACAAAATGAATTCATTTAGCCAACAAAACTGAAGTCCAGGAAAAAAACTCTAGGTCAGAACAACACATTTTTTGCGGCTATTTTTCTACCTTTTCCTTTCGGAGATGTTCCAACTTTCCTGAAGTTACTTTCTTTTCTCCTTTGGATTTTTTTTCCTCAATCTTTGCTTCCACAGAGGATGTCCACTGTATAGTAGTGCCTTCTTCTTGAACAGGAATTTCTAGAATATATTTTTTTTTATTAAAAGACATTAAGTGCAACAGTGTTGGGTGTACCAAACCAGCCACACTTTCACACTAAACAAGCATCAGCAGATGTAACTAGGAAACAGGATCTACAAAGATGGAAATGGGCAAGTTTTACTGGTGGCACAGTCAGGGCTCTGAAGTTCCTTCTCTTCCTCTGGTTCATTGTCTCAGCAGTGAATATGCAGACAACTGTATGCTTCAAACAGAACTGAAACTACACAAGCTTACAGTAAGGGAAGTCAGCTCCTGCTTATCAAAAGACCAGCTAGAAAGTACATATATAATAGCAATGAAACCATAATCATTAGGGCTACCTGGTACTACAAAGACAGCAATTTTCCCTACATCTATAAGAACACTAGTTCAATTAAAAACAGAATTGTTTCAGGGGTCAGACTAGGTGACTTTATATGGTAGTATAAATATGTAAAAACATTCTATGAGTAATAAGCAAAGAGTTATACTGGATTTTCTTTTTGGAGTCTTGTGTATTCCAGAATGGCCTCAAATTTGCTATATAGCAGAGGCTGGCCTTGAACTCCTAATCTTCCTGCCTCCACCTCCCAAGTGTTGAAACTGTAGGTGAGTGCCACCATGCCTGGTTTTCTACTGGAATTTTAAAAACATATCTTTTAACTTCACAGTGACCTAGCTGTGAAGCAATAAAACTGCACATATTTTAAGGTATATACTGGGGCTGTGGATGTAGCTCAGTAGCAGAGTGCCTGTCTAATATGTACGAGGAACTAGTCTTGGTCCTCAAAACACTATGCATCTTTGTCTTGCCAGTCTATTTGGGTGTTTTGGGTTTGTCGGGTTTTTTTTTGTTTGTTTGTTTGTTTGTTTTTAACAAAGCAATTAAAACAAGCAGATACTGGGGCTGGAGTGTGGGGAGCCGCCTGCCATCCCTGCAGACGCCATTACAAGATGGCGCTCACATCCGGTTCATGCTGAGCAGTAAATAAGTCAGTACGCATGCCCGAAGTAATTTTCCACCTTCTAGTCTCTGCCTACCTCGTGGCGTGATATGGGCTGATGAGTTTGCGACCAATCAAGAGTAGCCACGTCCAAGACGGGCTTACTAACCTATATAAGGGCTGGGTGTCCGACATTCGGGGTCTTCGCCCTGTAAGCTTATGCTCTACCTCTCAAGATGCATTAAAGCTTTTCTGCAGAAGGATCCTGAGTGTGCC